AACATACAAACATACATAAAAACATACGTACATACATATATACATACATACATACATACATACATACATACATACATACATACATACATACATACATACACATATATACATACATATATACATATATACATGCATACATACATACATATATATATATATATATATTTATATATATATGTAGATAAATATATAATGTATGGCCACGGTGGTGATTTTTCTTAACCCAATTGTTTGAGCTGGTGACAAGTTTGCTAGTCGGCTCGGAAGGTGTCCCTCGTATGACGGTTGAATGGCCCGCCCGTTTACACCCGAAGCGAGGGAGGCTTTCTCGTAGATTGAGTCTTTGTCTTTGTGACTTTGCCTCAGCCGGCGTAATGCCCTTTTTATTTAGAATATAATAAAAAGGTTTTAAAGCGACCCTTGATGCACCTTGTTTTTAGCGAATAGCATATTGTATCATTTAACCTCTAAAAGTAATAATATTTGAAATCAATTGTTTGCTTATCATTGCTCGACTAAAATAGTTCATCAATTTAGGTAAAGCCAAACAGCTGCGCAGCAATGATAATCCGTCATCCTCTTCTAGAGAGAACAGGCTACCAATATTTTTATCAGAAACACTTTTATTCTGAATAAAAATGTAGCCTCAAACGATTCAGCGAAACCAAATACTCTTCGAATGTGCAACGGATGAATGATAAGAAAATGTTGAGTAGCGTCACAGGCTCATTTCGAGACTATTCGTAAAGTGAAGACTCTAAAACTTGTAGAAATTTATCTTCATTGCTCTCTCTCTCTTTCGAAACCTTTTTTCCTATCCATATCTTCGTATCTCTTTTTTCTCCTCCTCTTTATCGCCATAAATCGCATTCACCACCCACGAGAGGGCCTCCAGAATGTGACCAGCCTTTGATCCTTTGAGGAATGTACTCTCAAATGCACCATGTAGGCTTTCAGAAGCTACTGGAAGGGACGGACAACCTGGTTTTCTTATCAGCTGTACCTTAAGGCATTTATGAACAACCTTACGGTCTCGAAGGACGAGGATTTTCTCGGTAGCCTTGATCTTCATGGATCGCCGGAATTGCATCGAAACTTCCCAAATCGTGTGGGAAAGGCCAGAAAAATGCACAGCATTGAAATAAAAGCGGTGAAAATTGATTTGATTGGAGAAAAGGGGTTCTAAAAGTAGTAAAAGGCATTTATTATACGTATTTTGAGGCTATTTGCATGTAAATAACATTTTAATCAACCACTCACAGAAGAGGAAGCTAAAAGAAAAAGTTATTAAATCGCTATTCCGATTTTCAGTCGAGGCTGGGACGCAAATGAACAATGGAGTTTGTAGACCAAACTAGAGTCACTTTAGGTGGCATCACGCACGACAAGCCTTTTCCAATCAAAACTATATTTTTAATTAAAATTAATCATCCTACTATATAATAAGTAAGTAGCCTTCAAAAGAATCAGTCATTATTTCATATGAGCAGTTCAATGTATAAAGGTAGAATATTTCAACAATTTCCTTCTTAAATGACCTAAGTTGACCCTGGTAATGGTGAAATATTAATTAATAACCTACTCACCCTGACTTGCGTATCACGTATACAATTAGATCTATTCATTAAGAGTCGCTTAATGTCTTTCAATGGAATGTTTCCACAATGATAAAAGTATACTTTACA